GGAACATTTATCCCTACTGTGACATAAGGAGGGACTCGTCACCTTGTGACATAAGGAGCACTTGTCACCTTCCCGTTTAAAATAAGGGCCCCCCCCGGCCCCCCCTGTGACATAAGTAGCAGTCATCAACCCACTGGACTAAGGAACATCATCACCCACTGTGACTTTTGGGCACCCCCTCACCTACTGGAATTTTGGGCAATCGGGCCCCCACTTTTGCAAAAAGGAAAAAATCATCCCCCTACTTTTGACTAAGGAACATCGCACCTACCCCCCGACTTTAAAGGGGCAGTCATCACCTGCTGTGGGCATAAGGGAGAGGTCATCACCTACTGTGACATAAGAAGCCCAAACACCCCACTGTGACATTTAAAAGGGAAAACTCGGGCACCCCAAAAATGTGACATAAGGAGCAGTCTTTACCTTCTGTGACATAAGGAGCAGTCACAAAATACTGTGACATAAAGAACATCGTCCTATGTTTACATAAGGAGCAGTCATCACCCACTGTGACATTTTGGAGCAGTCGTCACCTACTGTGACTTTAAAGGGGCAGTCCTTTACCTACTGTGACATAGGAGCGTCATAACCCACTGTGACATAAGGAAAAACTCGTCACCTACTGTGAATAAGGGGGCAGTCATCACCTTTCTGGGGAATAAGGAGCAGTCATCACCTCTGTGACATAAGGAGCAGTCATCACCCCACTGTGGGCATAAGGAGCAGTCATCACCTACTGGACTTTAAGGGGCGTCATCACCTACTGTGACATTTTTGGGGCGTCATCACCTAAATGTGACATTTAAGGGGCAGTTTCCCCTACTGTAAATTAAGGAGCAGGGCATACCTACTGTGACTTTTAAAGGGGAAGTCTTTACCTACTGTGACTTAAAAAAGCAGTATTTACCCACCCGTGCATAAGGGGGCAGTTATCACCTACGTGACAAAAGAGCACTCAGTCAACCCTTTTTTTTCCGTTTACAAATTTAAACCCAAATCTTTTAGTTTTCCCCAAATTTTTTCATATTAAAAAATCTCATCCCAAAAAATGTTTTATTCTCTGAAAAAAAATTTTTTAGAAAATGTTCAGCTTTTTCTTTTTAGTGGCTCTCCTTGTTCACTCCTTCGCTACTCTTGAAAAGCTTTGTTTTTCCCTCCCGGCCTTTGACCTCTGACGCTGACCTTTGCTCTCCGAACCCCGACCGTGACCTTGTTTTCCCAAACCCCTTTACCGGTGACCTTGTTTCCCCCTCTGACCCCTGACCCCTGCTCTCCCACCTTTTGACCGCTGACCCCTGTTCTCGCCCCCGACCGCGGGCCTCTGTTTCCGACCCCCGACCGCTGACCTTGTTCTCGGGCCCCCCGGGCCGTGACCCCTGTTCTCCGACCCCCGACCCCCTGACTCTTTTTCTCCGACCCCCGACCCCTGGGCCCCCTGTTCTTCCCACCCCCGACCGCTGACCTTGGGTTTTCCGACCCCGACCGCTGCCTCTGCTCTCCGGGCCTCTGACCGCTGAACCCCTGCTCTCCGCCTTGGGCCCCTGGGCCCCTGTTCTCCGACCCCTGACCGCTGCCCCTGTTCTCCGACCCTGGGGCCGCTGACCTCTGTTTTTCCCACCCCCCGACCCCTGCCTTTTGGGTCTTGACCCCTGCCGTGACCTCTGCTCTCCGGGGCCTCTGACCGCTGACCCCGTTTCCGGGCCCCCGACCCGCTGACCTTGTTTCCCCACCCCCTGGGAAAGCTGACCTCGTTCTCCGACCCCCGCCGCTGACCCTTGTTCCCGACCCTGACCGCTGACCTCTGTTTTTTCCCACCCCCGACCCGCTGACCCCTGTTTTCCGGGCCCCTGGGCCGCTGACCTTGTTTTCCCACCCCCGACCCCCTTGGGCCCCCGTTTTCCGACCCCCGACCCCCTGACCTTTTGTTTTCCGAACCCCCGACGTGACCCCTTTTTCTCCGACCCTGGGCCGTGACCTCTGTTCTCCCACCCCTGACCGCTGGAAATTGGTTTTCCGACCCCCTGACCCGGGTGACCTATTCCCCTTTTTCCCCCTTTTAAAAAATTTTTCGCATGTTACATTTTTCTATTAAATATTGTTTTGGCCCTCGTTTTCCCTTTTCCCCCCCTCATCCCTCTCCAATACCCACCCTCCCATACCCACTCAATCCCACCTTCCCATACCAACCCACACTATCCCTCCAAAACCCACCCCACACCTACCCTCCCCCAAACCCCCCCCCTTTACCCATGCACACTTTCCCCACCCATCCCCACCAACTTCCCATACCCACCCACACCCCCTTCCATTCCCACCCACTCCCCCTGCCCATACCCTCCAACCCTCCCATACCTACCCTCCCACACCCATCTACTCCCACACCCAACCTCCGATACCCACCCACCCTCCAATACCCAGCCACACCCACCCTTTCATTCCCACCTACACCCACCCTCCCATACCCATCCACACCCACCCTTCCATACCCATCCACACCCACCCTCCAAAACCCACCCACTCCCATCCTCCCATAACCCACCAACTCCCTCCCTCCCATACCCACCGACTCCCACCTGGCCCATACGTACCACACCTTCCCCCCATACCTACCCTACAACACCCACCTACTCCCACCCAACCATACCCACCCACAACCACCCCCCCCATACCCACCAACACCCACCCTCCCACTCCCACCCCACACCAAACCCTGCCATACTCACCCATACCCCCTCCATACCCATCCACCTATATCCACCTTCCAATACACACCCTCCCATACCCACGTCCCATACCCCCCTCCAAGACCCCACCCACCCATACCCACGCACACCCACCCTCCCATACCCACCCACACACTGACCCTCCCATTCTCACCTACACCCACATTCCAATACCCACCCACACCCAACCCCCAATACCCACCCACACCCTGTCTCTCATACCGACCCTCCCATACCCACCCACTCCCGCCCTTCCAAAACCCACCCATTTCCCCCTCCCATCCCCCCGTCCCACACCCACCTTTTTCCCACCCTCCCATACCCACCTACACCCTCCCAAAACCCACCCACACCCCTCCCATACCCACCCACCCCCTCCCATACCCACCCCACCCCCCCTCCCATACACGCGAAGTCCCACCCCCCCAAACCCCCACCCTCCCATACCCATCCACACCCCACCCTCAAATACCCACCCCCCCACCCACCCTCCCAAAACCCACTCACACCAACCATCCCATACCTGTCCACATTCACCCTCCCATTCTCACCTACACCCACCTCAAAATACCCACCCCACACCCAACTCCTAATACCCACCTCCCATACCCATCCACACCCTCGCTCCCATACCCCCCAAACACTCACCCTCCCCATTCCCACCCACACCCACGTTTCAATACCCACTCACACCCAACCCCAATACCCACCCACAACCCACCCTCTCTTTTCCCACCTACACCTTCCCTCCCATACCCATCCACACCCACCCTTCCTTAGCCACCCACCCCCACCCTCCAATTTCCACCTTCACCTGCCCTCCGTTTACCCACCCACACACCACACCTCCCATACCCACCCACACCCACTCTCCCATATCCCCCACACCCGCCCATACCCCCCTTTTCCAATACCCACCAACACCCAACCCCCAATACGCACCCACAACCACCCTCTCATTCCCACCTACACCCTCCCTCCCATACCCATCCACACCCACCCTTCCATACCCACCCCACCCACCCTCAAATTTCCCACCTACACTCACCCTCCCATACCCATCCACACCCAACCCTTCCATACCCACCCACACCCACCCTCTCATTCCCCACCTACACTCACCCTCCCATACCCATCCACACCCCACCTTCCATCCCCACCCCACACCCACCCTTAAATTCCCACCTACCTCACCCTCCCATACGCATCCACACCCACCCTCCCATACCCATCCACACCCACCCTCCCATACCCATCCACACCCACCCTCCCATCCCCAAATCCACACCCACCCCCCCATACCCATCCACACCCACCCTCCCATACCCATCCACACTCACCCTCCCATACCATCCACACCCACCCCCCCAAATACCCATCCACACCCACCCTCCCATACCCATCCACACCCACCCTCCCATGCCCATCCCACACCCCACCCTCCCTTTACCCATCCACACCCACCCCCTCCCATACCCATCCACACCCACCCTCCCATACCCATCCACACCCACCCTCCCATACCCATCCACACCCACCCTCCCATACCCATCCCACACTCACCCTCCCATAACCCATCCACACTCACCCTCCCATACCCACCCACACCCACCCTCCCATACCCATCCACACCCACCCTCCCATACCCATCCACACTCACCCTCCCTTTACCCATCCACACCCACCCTCCCATACCCATCCACACCCACCCTCCCATACCCATCCACTCCCACCCTCCCATACCCATCCACACTCACCCCCCCATACCCATCCACACCCACCCTCCCATACCCATCCACACCCACCCTCCCAACCCATTCCACTCCCACCCTCCCATACCCATCCACACTCACCCTCCCATACCCACCCACACCCACCCTCCCATACCTCCTTCATCAGAGCCTCATTCCCTCCTCGACTTGCTCTTCGTGTTTGCCTATACTCTCCCTACACCGACTTTCTCTAGACAGTTGTTTACAATTTACTCCAGCTGACCTTCTCATATCTAAAAAAATAAATTCCCCAGAAGTGAAGTTATCTACGTCTTTTAAAATAAGATAAAATTTTTTAAAAAAATTTCGGGGTAATAATACACCACACAATTCAACTTTTATAATTAGCAGTTCACAATCACATTATATATAAATATATATATATAAATAAATAAAATAAATAAATATAATAAATATATATATAAATTAATATAAAATATATATATATGTGATAAAAATCAAAAATTTCCTGGTGATCCGGGAAAACACGGTTTAAAAACTCTCATTAGCCAACCCGTTGGGATGTCGCCAGTTCTAGATGTAGGGGGACCACCCTCCACCCTGCGCATTCAATGATAGCAATGAGAGCATAGCGCACACCGAAGGTCAGGGGCACCCCATGATGCATGTGTAGCGGCCGGTCCGGCTGGACCACGGCCCAGCCGTTCTTTTTGTGGGAAAAACCACAAACTCTTCGCTCTGTCCCGAAGTATGTGTTACCTAACTTGTACTCCAGACCACCTCCCTGCAAGATCAACACCATCTTTATTATTATTAGTTGTAATAATAGAAGTTTTAACTTTTATTTTTATATTACTATTATTATTATTATTATTATTATTATTATTATTATTATTATTATAATTATTATTATTATTATTATTATTATTTTTAAATTTTTATTATTATTATTATTATTATTATTATTATTATTAAATTTTTATATTATTATTATTTATTAATTATTATTATTTATTATTATTATTATTATTATTATTATTATTATTATTATTATTATTATTATTATAATTATTTTTATTATTATTATTATTATTATTATTATTATTATTATTATTATCATTATTATTATTATTATTATTATTTATATTATTATTATATTATTATTATTATTATTATTATTATTATTATTATTTTTATTTTCATTATTATTTTTATTAATCATTGTTATTCTTATTAATCATCGTTATTATTATTTAAATTTGCTATTATATTACTGCTATTATTTTTATATTATGATTAGTATTATTATAGCAGTAGTAGAAGCTGGTGCAGTATTAGTATTAATAGTTGCGGTGGTGGTGGTGTTGGTGGTGTTGGTGGTGTTGGTGGTGTTGGTGGTGTTGGGTGGTGGTGGGGGTGGTGGGGGGGGGTGGTGGGGGTGGTGTTGGTGGTGGTGGTGGTGGGGGTGGGGGTGGTGGTGGTTTGGTGGTGTTGGTGGGGTTGGTGGGGTGGTGTTGGGGGTGTGTTGGTGGGGTTGGTGGGGTTGGTGGTGGTGTTGGTGGGGTGTTGGTGTTTTGGGGGTGTTGGGGGTGGGGTTGGTGGGGGTGTTGGTGGGATTGGGGGTGTTGGGGTTGGTGGGTTGGGGTGGGGGTGTTTTTGGTGTTGGTGTTGGTGGTGTTGGTGGTGTGGGGGTGGTGGTGTTGGTGGGGGTGTTGGGGGTGTTGGTGGTGTTTGGGGTGTTGGGGGTGGGTTGGGGTGGGTTGTGGTGTTTGGTGGTGGGTGTGTTTGGGTGGTTGTAGGTGGTGTTGGTGGTGTTGGTGGTGTGGTTTGTTGGTGGTGGTGGTGTTGGTGGGGTGGTGTTGGGGTAGTGTGTTTGGTGGTGGTGGTGTTGGTGATGGTGGTGGTGGGTGGTGGTGGTGGGGTGGTGGTGGTGGTGTGGTGGTGGTGGTGGTTGGGGGTGGGTGGTGGTGGTGTGGTGTTGGTGGTGGTATTTGTTGGTGGGGGTGGTGTTGGTGGTGGTGGTGGGGGTGGTGTTGGTGGTGGTGGTGGTGGTGTTGGTTGTGGTGGTGTTGGTGGTGGTGGTGGGGTTTTGGGTGGGGTGGTGGTGTTGGTGGTGGGTGGTGTGGTGGTTTTGGTGGGGTGGTGGTGGTGGTAGTGGTGTTGGGTGGTGGTGTGGTGGGGGTGGTTTTGGTGGTGGTGGTGTTGGGGTGTTGGTGGTTTGGTGGGGTGTTGGTGGTGTTGGGGGGTGGTGTTTGGTGGTGGTGGTGTTGGTGGTGGTGGGGGTTGGTGGTGGTAGTGGTGGGGGGTTTGGGGTGTTGGGGGTGGTGGTGTTGGTGGTGGTGGTGGTTTGGTGGTGGGGGTGGTGGTGGTGTGGTAGTGAGTTGGTGATGGGGGTGTTGGAGGTGGTGGTGTTGGTGGTGGTGGTGGTGGTGGTGGAAAGTGGGTTGGTGGTGGTGGTGTGTTGGTGGGGGTTGGGGTTTGGGGTGGGGTGGTGTGGGGGGGTGGTGGTAGTGGTTTTGGGTTTGGTGGTGGTGTTGTGTTGGTGGTGGTGGGGTGGTGGTGGTGGTGGTGGTGGTGGTAGTGGGTTGGTGTGGGGTGGTTGGTGGTAGTGGTTGTTGGTGGTGGTGATGGGGGTGGTGGTGTTGGTGGTGGTGTTGGTGGTGGTGGTGGGGTGTGGGGGTGGTGGTAGTGGTTTGTTGGTGGGGTGGTGTTGGTGGTGGTGGTGTGGTGGTGGTGGTGGTGTGGTGGTGGTGGTGGTGGTGGGGGGTTGGTGGTAGTGGTGTTGGTGGGGGGTGTGGTGGTGGTGGTGGTGGGGGGTTGGTGGTGGTGGTGGTGTGGTGGTGGTAGGGGTGTTGGTGGTGTGGTGTTGGTGGTGGTGGTGTTGGGGTGGTGGTGGTGTGGGTGGGGGGGTTTTGTAGTGGTTTTGGTGGTGTGGTGTCGGTGGTTGTGGTTTGGTGGTGGGGGTGGTGGTGGTGGTGGTGTTGGGGGTGGGGTGGAGGTGGTGGTGTAGTGAGATGGTTGAGTTGAGGAGGTTAGATTAGGTGAGTGGGTGATGGGGGGTAGGATGGGTATGTTAGGAGGGAGAGGAAATGAGTTTTGTTAGTTTAGTTATTGAGAATGAGTGTTTGATGTATTTTGATGTATATATATGGTTGTATGATTATTGGGGATTAGTTAGTTGTGAGGGAGGTTTGGGGGTGATGAGTATTGGAGTAGGATATTAGTTAATTGGTTTTTGAATTTGAAATTTATGAGAATGAATTGTAGGTGGTGAGGTAGAGGATGGATGTGTTTGATATAGGAGTTTTGGGGAGTTAAATGGTAGATTATTATTATATATGGTAGGTTTTAGTAGAGTGTATTGGATGTTGAGTAGTGGGTTGATGATTTGATTATGTGGAGTGGGGGGTTTATGTGTTGAGTAGTGGGAGTGGGGGATGATGATTTGAGGTGGGGGGTTGGAGGAGGATGTGTGGATGGTGGAGGTTTTTGGGTGAGTGTGTTAGGTGTATTGGTGTGGGGGTGTGGTGGTGGTGTGAGGGGGGGTGGGTTGGTATGTAGGGGTTTGGGTGGTGTGGTGGTGGTGTTGGGGGAGGGTGGAGTATTAGGTAGTTAGGTGGATAGTTGATGATGAGGAGTGTATGTAGGTGTATGGAGTAAATGTAGTATATACTAACTAGCTACTACTACGCTACGACTACTACTACTACTACTAAAACTACTACTACTACAAACACTACTACTACTACCCTACTATACTACTACTACCCTACTACACTATACTACGACTACTACTACTACGTACTACTACACTACGTCCCATAAAAAGAACCTACCATCCCCGCCCCCTTTGGTCAACGTTTCCCATAACCCCCCAGGTCTCCAGCCGGAACAAAAAACAGAAAGTAAGAAATGAAAGAAAGCCTAAAAGGGGAATCTGTACAGGCTCGAGGCTGGTCCAACAAATGGCTCCTAGAGTTTAATTAACCCCACTAATTTCAAAGTCATGAAGCTTGGAGAAGGTCAAAGAAGATCGTAAAGTAGAGCTTAGGGGGTCAAAGTCTGCAAACTCACTAAAGGAAAGGATCTTAAGGTGTGCATCATACCGAGCACATCTCCTGCACGTCAAGAAATTAGAGAAAGCGCAAAGGTTTGCACTGGTTTAGTAATAGAGTTGTGGATGAGTGGAACAAACTCCCGAGTACCGTCATAGAAGCTAAAACGTTGTGTAGTTTTAAAAATAAGTTAGATAAATAAATGAGCGGGTGTGAGTGGAGGTGAGTTGGACCTGACTAGCTTGTGCTAATAGGTCTGAAGCCGTGCTTCTTCCTTAAGTGGATGTGACCTGACCTGACTAGGTTGGATCATTGGCTTAAGACGGTCGGAGACTTGGACCTGCCTCGCATGGGCCAGTAGGCCTGCTGCAGTGTTCCTTTTTTCTTAATTTCTTCTTAAGGGAAATCGACCTGACGTCACTGAAGAATAGGAGAGAAAGAGAGGGGACATGAAAACCACATACAAATACTGAGAGGAATTGAGAAGGTGGATAGGACAAGAATGTTTCAGAGACGAGACACATGAACAAGGAGACAAAAGTGGAAGTTAAAAACACACGTGAGGTATAGGAAAGTCAGGAAGTATTTTTTTACCCGTAGAGCTGTCAAGAAGTGGAACACTTTGGAGAGTAATGTAGTGGAGGCAGGATCCATACATAGCTTTAAGAAGAGGTACGATAAAGCTCTTGGAGCAGGGAGAGAGTGGACCTAGTAGCGACCAGCGAAGAGGCGGGTCCAGGAGCTATGAATCGACCCCTTCAACCATTAATAGGTGAGTATATATATACACACACACTGTTTATTACTTGGTTGTGACTCCTTCATAATGATGTGGCTCCTTCATAATGATGTGACTCCATCATAATGATGTGGCTCCTTCATAATGATGTGACTCCTTCATAATGATGTGACTCCTTCATAATGATGTGGCTCCTTCATAATGATGTGGCTCCTTCATAATGATGTGACTCCTTCATAATGATGTGACTCCTTCATAATGATGTGACTCCTTCATAACGATGTGGCTCCTTCATAATGATGTGACTCCTTCATAATGAGTGGCTCCTTCATAATGATGTGACCCTTCATAATGATGTGGCTCCTTCATAATGATGTGGCCCTTAATAATGAATGTGACTCCTTCATAATGATGTGGCTCCTTCATAATGATGTGGCTCCTTCATAATGATGTGACTCCTTCAAATGATGTGACTCCTTCATAATGATGTGACTCCTTCATAATGATGTGGCTCCTTCATAATGATGTGACTCCTTCATAATGATGTGACTCCTTCATAATGATGTGACTCCTTCATAACGATGTGGCTCCTTCATAATGATGTGACTCCTTCATAATGATGTGACTCCTTCATAATGATGTGGCTCCTTCATAATGATGTGACTCCTTCATAATGATGTGGCTCCTTCATAATGATGTGACTCCTTCCATAATGATGTGGCTCCTTCATAATGATGTGGCGGCTCCTTCATAATGATGTGTCTCCTTCATAATGATGTGGCTCCTTCATAATGATGTGACTCCTTCATAATTATGTGGCTCCTTCATAATGATGTGGCTCCTTCATAATGATGTGGCTCCTTCATAATGATGTTACTCCTTCATAATGATGTGGCTCCTTCATAATGATGTGACTCCTTCATAATGATGTGGCTCCTTCATAATGATGTGACTCCTTCATAATGATGTGACTCCTTCATAATGATGTGA